GAAGTCCATGCAGGCCTCCTATGAGGCGCTGGGAGCTCTTATGGTGTATCAGAATCGAAAGGAGGGTACTGGGGGGCAGTCAGTATCGCCTATAGAGGAGCTGCTCCGGTCGAACAAGGAAACCATAGGGTGAGCCCGCTATCTCCTGTTCCTATGTGTGGAGATTCCTTTTATGGTAGGCGGTTAGTCGATCGCTACGACGATCAGGTAGTGGTGAAGCAGGGACGGGCCTCCAATGCACATCGAAAGGCTCGGCCCGTATCTGCTGCTGTTACCCGTAGAAGGTCGCCTCTTATTGACGTCCTCCCGATGGCTCACGAAAGCCGACACTGCCTTGATGAATTCATCGATGTTCTCAAGCGTAGTTTCAGTACTCCTGAGGAAGCCTATCAGTACTTCTCTGACGGTGCCATTGGGTTCAGCAGGGAGATGTTCGCTCTCCGATTGAAGACGTTGGACGATGCCGGGTATGTCAATAACAACAAGGATATTCTATGGAGCGCGATTTGCCGAGAGGCGGGTATAGACCCATCCGGGCTTATGGACTCGGTACGATGGGCGAGGGTTGTGCTGAATACACCAACGCTACCATGTCGAAGACTCGGCAGAGCTGTGAAGTAAGTCGACTCCATCTTTTGGAACCAAACTGGTTTACATTATTGAAGATACGTAGCGGCGTCGGTCCTCACTGAGGCAGCCCTCGAGTGCACTAGGGCGGTGGCACAGGAAGCCATGGAGGGGTTGGAGATGGCCAGTGTGTCACCTAACGAGATGCCAAGGTGAGCGGTGACTGAGGCGACCGTCACCAATCTTCATTTTAGTGAGTCAAGGCCGAGAACGAGGTCTGGTAGTAGACAGAAGCGTACTACCCGGAACGCTAAGAGTTCTATCGGATCGCTGGCAGCAATCTATGGTACGACGCAGTACCTAAAAGACTCGACCCCAGCGGAGGCATGTAAGCCTGGTACTGACCAAAAGGGTTGCAGGGGCTCACTGACTCAGGCACACGAGACCACCGATCGGCGAGCTTGCTGCATGGTCTATAGAATCAGTCCAATGATAGTCCTTTCTCTATGGCATGTACCGTCCACGCTCGCCGTTGTTGCTCCCCCCCGTTACTGTTGTGTTGTTCTATATGGGCGTGAGATGTTATCTGAATCAGCAGCTCTTTACCCTGATGCAATGCCGCTATATCCTCTACTCTATGATGCCCCTTATCTTGCTTGCTGATGATGATGGGAGGGCTCTAGCGGGAGAGGGCCTACCCCATGTGCAGGTGCCCTCCGGCTCACCCCAAGCATCTATTTTGCTCTCGTTCACGCCAGGTCAAATGCAGCGTCTCGAATTTACCGGCTGGAGATGGTACGTTAGAATCATTCGGCTTCTTCACATTGGCTGTCTTCCCTAGTGTTGCGCCCATAGGCTTTAACAGGTCAGTTCGTCTAAGCAGCACTAGCCTTATCATCGCTGTATTAGATTTATGGAGCTCATCTCGACTCACTTCTACGATGATACTCGTGTTT